AGGGGGATTGGACTGGATGATCTTTCGAGGTCCCTTCCAATCCTCAACATTCTGTGATTCTGTGTGATTCTGTAACCCAAAGCAGCCCCAAAATGTGAGCTCAGGCTGTGGTGCTGCAGCAGTTGGGTTCTGCCTGGGAAGCTGGGCTGTAAAACCAGGTAGAATTGGGGTGATGAGGGTTCAGGCATCGCAGGCAGCCCCTGTGTGGAGCCAACCTGCCTTCCTCACCTCAAACCTCCATCCAGCTCCCCCCGTAGATGCAGCCTCCAGCAAGGGCTCCTCTTTCCCCACAGAGATTTACACCATCCAGGGCAACTCACATGGGAAGCCGTGCACCATCCCATTCAAGTACGATAACCAGTGGTTCCACGAGTGCACCAGCACAGGACGGGAGGACGGTCATCTCTGGTGTGCCACCACCCAGGACTACGGCAAGGACGAGCGATGGGGCTTCTGCCCCATAAAGAGTAAGTGGGGGGGATGTGTCCCATGGGGAAAAGCAGAAGCTCCATGTTCATCCCTCCCAGGGGTTTTCCTGCCTGTCTTCTTCTCTCCTGGCTCATCCCTTCTCCCACGAGCAGCCTGTGGTGCCAAAGCAGCCCCCTTGGCTTCTCTTATCTGGTTTTTGGGGTTATTGAGGGATTTTGGAGCTGCTGATGGGACTGAATTGGGTGCTGATCATGCTTATCCCTGCAGGCAACGACTGCGAGACCTTTTGGGACAAGGACCACCTCACCAACAGCTGCTACCAGTTCAATTTCCAGTCAACGCTGTCGTGGCGGGAGGCCTGGAATAGTTGTGAGCAGCAAGGGGCCAACCTGCTCAGCATCACCGAGATCCACGAGCAGACTTACATCAATGGTGAGACGATGGCAGCCTGGCTCTGCACCCGTCCTCCTCACCCAAGGCAGAGCTGGTGGCACCGTCACTGGTGCCAGGTTGCTCTACCTGCCCTGGTTTGGGGATGGTGACAGGCTGGGGATTGAGTTGGGGCTGGGGGGACCTGATCCTGGCTGTGTTGGTCCCAGGGCTGCTGACAGGGTACAGCTCCACACTCTGGATTGGGCTCAATGACCTGGACATCAATGGAGGCTGGCAGTGGTCGGACAACTCGCCCCTCAAGTACCTCAACTGGGAGAGCGGTGAGCTGGGGAGGTTATAGGGGTGATGAGGGGGACCAGGGAACAGTCTGTGACCACTGGAGATGGCCCCATGGCAGAGGAGGTGGACTGGGCTGCTGTGGTGTGTCCCATGTTGAGTGGGATGGAGATCCCCGTGGGGCTGTGGAGCAGCCTGGGACATCCATGGAGCTGGAGTGGGGACACAAGGTGCTGGAGAGGGAATTGTCCCTCTGCAAACCCTCAGCAGCCCTGTGGGTAACCTGGGTTGAGCACCCTTGTTTGAAGGCTGTTGCATCCCAGCTCGATGCTGGAGTGTGGCTGAGGAGTGGTCCCCAACCACAGAGACCCATCTCTAACCCTGGGGTGTTCCAGGGGCAGAAGAACCCATTGCAAGGGCTGCTCTGGTCATGCCCGGTGCTGTCACCCAGAGGCACTTGTGGGGACAGTGATACCCCAGGAGGATGTTTGGGGACGGGCAGGAGCATTTCAGGTCTGGTACAGTGTCCCTCTCAACTTGTGTCCAACATTTCTAGGTAAAATAGTGATGCTCCAGGTCCTTGTGCATAAAGGCACAATAAATAATCCCAGACATGTGAGGTCACATCTTCAGAGGTCACATCTTCAGAAGTCACATCTTCACCATGCAAAATAACAAAACAAATAGATCTTTAGTGGTGTTGGAGCAGGGAGAGCTGCACCCTGCCAGTGCCAGCCCTCACACCGTGCCCTCCCTGCGTGGGTGGCTCTGCCTCAGCCCCACCAGCTCCTCAGCAGTGTGTGTGTGTGTGTGTGTGTGTGTGTGTCCCAACCCCCTTTCCAGACCAGCCAGACAACCCCAGCGAGGAGAACTGTGGGGTGATCCGCACCGAGTCATCTGGGGGGTGGCAGAACCGTGACTGCGGCATCGCCCTCCCCTACGTCTGCAAGAAGAAGCCCAACGCCACCGCTGACCCCTTCCTGACAGGTGAGCAGGGAGAGGAGTAACACCAGGAATCATAGAATCATGGAATATCTGGAGTTGGAATGGACTCATAAGGATGATTGAGTCCAACTCCTTGCTCCTCACAGGGGTCCCCAACACTAAACCGTATGACTAACGGTTTTCTTCTTGAAGTATTAGCCCACAGAAAATATTCTGAAGCATTTCTGTCTGGAAAGTGGGATTTGCTTTTTTTTTTAGCAGCCCCATATCCCAGCCAGATGTGTTCTCCTCCCATCCCAGCCAGGGAATGCTGTCCAAGTGCTGGAGCAGCCCATGGAGATGCTCTTGGTGACCCCAGCTTGCTGGTGTGCTGGGTGTGGGGAGCAGCGATTGAGCTCCCAGGAGGTGCCTAGGTTTGGAAAAAGTCCTCCCCAAGAGCATCCCCCAAGAAGTGCTCAGTGCAATTCCAGGTTGGGTGGCAGGGGAGGAATCAAGAGGAGCAGGAGGTCCCCTGTGGTCCCCAGGGGATGAGATGCTCTCTGCTCTGCTCTCCTCTGCAAACAAAAGGGGTTTTGTTTTGTCCCTGGAGCTCTAAAGCCACCGCTGCCCACACCTTGCCATTGCATGTTACATTTTGGCCGCAGCTTTCCCACCACTGCTTTGGCTTGGTCTCCTGAGCACCCCATGGGACTGTGGTCCTGCCTGTGGTCCTCTCCCTGCCAAGGAGAGGGTTGGAGAGCAGGACAGGAGCCCTCAGGCTGCCTTGTGTCCTGCCAGACTCGTGGTCAGAGGTGAAGGTGGACTGTGAGCCCAGCTGGCAGCCCTTCCAGTCCAACTGCTACCGCCTGGTGGGAGAGAAGAAGAGTTGGCAGGAGGCGAAGAAGACCTGCCTGCGGAGCGGGGGGGACCTGGTCAGCATCCACACCCTCTCCGAGCTGGAGTTTGTCACCAAGCAGGTCAAGCAAGGTAAGGGGGAGCCTGCTGTGCCCACAGCACCCTTCCCACTCGATTCTGGGGTCTGTGGAGAGGTCAGTTCTGTGAGATGGAGGCTACAAAGTTGGCTGGATTTGTGGCTGTGAAGGGAGTGGAGAACCCAGGCTGGGAGGTGATGTGTGGCTTGGAGGAGCCCGTGCTCTGGGCACATTCTCCATCCAGCAAATGTAAAAGCCGTTCCTGGGATCCTGCGGGGCTGGGCAAGGAGATACGGAGCTGCAGCTGGGAATGGCACTGGTCCCAGTTGGTTAATGTAGAAAAAGATGGAAAAGAAAAAAAGTCCTTCTGGTCTTGCTAGAGGAGGCTGCACCTCTTACTGCTGAATCCACCTGGGACATGAGTCCCCTGCAGCAGGTCAAGTGAAGGAGAAGCTCCTGCCTCCAGCGTCCCAGGTTTCACTTTCCCATTCCAGAGTTGCCCAGATGCAGTTGTTTGGGTTGAACTTTCCCATGTCAGGATGTGTTGGAGTTGGGATGGTCCTTGGGAAGTTCCAGCCTGAGCAATAGTGCGTGGTGGTACAGTGGACAACCTGTGCCACCATCCCCCAGACCCTGCTTGTGCCACCCCTCATTAGGTCACCCTGAGCTTGGGTTTTGCTGTTCCCATACCAGTGCAGCCCCTCCAGCCAAATGATGCTCTCCCGAAATGTGCTGGTGGTCCCAGGCTGGGAGCAGATGGGGATGGGATGGAAGGGAATGACTGAAAACCAGTAGCTCACTGGTCTGGGCTTTTATCATTCTGCTGCTGCCAGGACTTCTCCAAAAACTGCTGGCAAATGTCGCTGTGTTTCCCCCTTGGTGGGTCCATCCATGTGGGCAGGAGTTGGGTTAGAAGCTGAGTCCTGCAGCACCTGCAAGGGGTTTTGGCAGATGCTTTGCAGACCTCTGGTCCCATCACTGGGGCTCATGTCACCGAGGAGGTCTCTGCAAGGTTTCAGCCAGGCAGAAGGAACGTCACCCCCTGACCTTCCTGTCTCAGTAGATGTGGAGGAGCTGTGGATTGGCCTCAATGACCTCAAGCTGCAGATGAACTTTGAGTGGTCGGATGGGACACCCGTGAGGTTCACCTACTGGCATCCCTTTGAGCCCAACAACTTCCGTGACAGCCTGGAAGACTGCGTGACCATCTGGGGACCAGTGAGAGCCCAGGGTGGGGGGTTCATGCTGCACCTCTGCAGAGAGCACTGCAGCATCCTCATGGCCAGGAAAGGGGCACCTCAGGGAGCATCTCCCACTGGGGTTGGATGTGTTTTATCCCAGCTGTTGGGATGGGAGGGATCCAGCACAGCATCCTTGGGGATTTGATGTAGCGAAGGAAAGTCTGTGGACCCAACATGGGGTGGATGGGCTGGGGAGTTCCTCAGGGTGTCAGCAGGGCTCAGTCCTGCTCTTCACCCCGTGCAGGAAGGAAGGTGGAATGACAGCCCGTGCAACCAGACCCTGCCGTCCATCTGCAAAAAACCTGGTCGGGTGAGCCAGGAGAAGGAGGAGGATGACCATGGGTGCCGAAAGGTGAGGGGGACCTGGGGTGGGAGGTGTTTCTGGCTGCTCCATGGCTCTTCCTGCTGCTCAGGGGGTTGGGGTCACAGGGGACCTCTCCCCAAAACCATTCCAGGGAGCAGCACCTGGAGCTGTGGGTCTGTGCTGGGGGGCTGAGGAACCCCCTCGCTTCTGTGCTTGCATGAGGCTGTGGGAAGAAATTGAGACAGAACTCATGTCTCTGTCGTCCAAGATCCTCCCCCTTTGGCTGCCTTGGCTGCCAGCTGGGACGTTCATTTTTTTCCCCCCTTTGCCTCTCTCTGTGCCAAAACCCGGCAGCAGAGCTGGTGCCAGAGCCCGGCGGGACAGAGGTGGCTGCCAGTCCCACCATGCCAGCCTGCAGGACATGGGTATTTTGGAGAGACAGTCACCAAAAACCAGCAGGTTCTCACCCAAACCACGTTCTGCCTCAGTTTCCCCAGCTGTCAAGTGGGGCTTGCTGGGAAAGTTGCTTTTGTGCCTCTTTGCAAAGTTTTCGAGTGACGAGCCTGGCGTCACCGCTGCTCTTGAACGTCTCCCAGCGTGTC